CTGTGGAATGAGTTGCCACTGAGTGTTCGGCAGGCTCACACACTCTCAGTCTTTAAGTCTTGCTTGAAGACCCACTTCTATTCTCTTGCCTTTAACACGTTGTGATTTGTTTTGGTCCGGTCTGTTCTCTACTCTGTTGGCCATTTTAGTTAGCTTCTGCTGCTATTTGTATCTGTATTTCTATTTTATGTTTTCCTGTCGGCTGTGCATGTTTGTTTTCTTTTGTACAGCACTTTGGTTGGCCTTGTTGCTGTTTTAAGTGCTCTATAAATAAATTGGTATGGTATGGTATGGTACACCAGTGTTAATAGTGATGATAGATGAGCAGTGGTTATCCAGCCGGACATGTTGGGGTCGGTTGGTCAGAAAGTCCAGTAACCAGTTGCCCATGAGGGAACTGATGCCCAAGTCTGTGAGTTTTGTGATGAGTTTTGAGGGGATGACTGTGTTGAATGCTGAACTAAAATCTATGAACAGCATCCGGGCAAAGGTGTTTTTGTTGTCCAAGTGTGAGAGAACAGAGTGCAGCGCTATGGAGACTGCATCCTCTGTGCTCCTGTTCTGGCGGTATGCAAATTGGTGGGGGTCCAGGGTGGGGGGGAGACAGGATTTGAGGTGTACTAGGACCAGCTGCTCAAAACACTTTGCGATGATGGAGGTGAGGGCTACCGGACGGTAGTCGTTGAGTCTTGATGGTTTTGAGTTTTTGGGTATTGGGACGATGGAGGTGGTTTTGAAGCAGGTTGGTAGCACAGCACGGGCCAAGGACAGGTTGAATATGTCCATCAGTACTCCTGCCAGCTCCCCAGAACACGCTCTAAGAACACGACCAGGGATGCCATCAGGACCCGCAGCCTTGTGAACTTTAATCCTGCTCAGCGCCGCTCCTACATCGGTGGGGAAAAGAGTCAGTGGTTGGTGGTCTGGAGACACATCTGCCTTAGTTGTAGTTGTTGGGTTCCCTCTCTCAAAACGAGCATAGAAATTGTTGAGCTCATTGAGGAAGGAAACATCAGAGGAGACGGGGGAAAGGTTGATGGCCCTGTAATCTGTAATGATCTGGAGTCCTTGCCACATATGTCGGGGGTTGGAGTTTGAGAAGTGTTCTTCTATTCTCCCCTTGTAGTGGTGCTTGGCCTTTTTGATGCCCCTCTTCAGCTCAGCCCTGGCTGTACTGTAGGCCTGTGTATCCCCTGACCTGAAGGCGATGTTGCGAGCCTTCAGGTAGAGCTTGCTTCAGATAAGAGCTATCATTCATCTAGCAGGTTAATCCCACTGAGCCTCAAGGACTCATTTACAAGAGAGACCTGAAAAAAAAAAATGCTTGTTTAGAGACTTCCTCCAAAGAATAAAAAGTAACATCTGACCACAAATATCACAAATATCACAAATATCATGACAATCAGGTCTCTCTTGTAAATGAGTCCTCGAGGCTCAACGGGATTTACCTGTCTAAATAAAGGTTGATTGACTATTGGGGAAATATAGACGGTCACAGAATAGATAGCGCTTATCATATAGTCCGTATTGCAAAGTATGCTGTGAAAATGCAACAGCGTCCCCTACGGTCACATTATATGGAGGTCACAGCATATGGTTTAATGCCGGAGCCAGAGCTGCAGGAGTATTCATCCATCCATCCATCCATCCATCCATTATCTTTACCCGCTTATTCCATTTTGGGTCACGGGGGTCGCTGGTGCCCATGTCCAGCAATCACTGTGCGAGGTGCGGGGTACACCCTGGACAGGTCTCCAGTCCATCACAGGGCCACATAGAGACAAACGAGACAAACAACCATTCACTCTCTCACTCACACCTAGGGACAATTTAGAGTTACCAATCAGCCTAACATGCATGTTTTTGGTCTGTGGGAGGAAACCGGAGCACCCGGAGAAAACCCACGCATGCACGGAGAGAACATGCAAACTCCACCCAGAAAGGCCCCTGGACCGGGATTTGAACCAGGGACCTGCTCGCTGAGAGGCAGCAGCTCTACCAGTTGCGCCACCGTGATGCCCCTCAGGAGTATTCAGTTCAATTCAAATTCAATTCAAAAATACTTGATTATTCCTAAAGGGAAACTAAATGTGGTTGTCTCATCATCCTGTTTTTTTTAATTCATTTATTCATTCATTTAAAAGAAACAACAGAAACAAAACAAATTCATCAAAAAGAAAAAAAAAAAACATTGAATGAAAAGGGTCCAGAAAGAAGAAGAAAGTTCTTATAATATCTGCCCCTTATTAAAAAAAATATAAAATAAACAACAGCTCACATCAGGCATTCTTCACATGGTGTCATACAGTGGTGTAGTCTACGTTTGTTTAGTGGGTACACTGTGCTTAAGTACAGTGATTCCTCACTTATCGCGGGGGTTACGTTTCAGAGACCCCCGCTGTACCTACAAATCTGTGAAGTAGTGGCGTTCTAGTTTTTTTATTTCTATATATTCAAGGCACCTTCTCACACTCTTATTAACCTTTCCTACTCTCTTATAAACACTTAATATGCTCTTAAACACTTGGGCAATGATGATGACCATGAGATGAATGTGCACAGCGTGTACAGGATATAATATAAAAAACTGGGTTTAAACAAGCCGTGATGTAGTGAAGCTGCAAAAAGTGAACTGCAATATAGCGAGGGATTACTGTACAATGTCATTGTCAGTTTCTAAAAAAGTTCAGTCAGGTCCTCTGGACAGGTTCAAAAAATAAAATGGTAGAAACGTTTCGTCTCTCATCCGAGAAACTTCCTCAGTCTGAGGTGCTGTATTCAGCTCAGTCTCTTAAATAGCACCTTCTCAGAGTGGATCAACCAGTTTTGCTGCTGACAACCAAAACCAGCTGATCACATGCTCAAGAAGGACCATCAGCCTAACAATGGATCATTAGCACCTGATGGCTGTTTACTGTTCACAGAGGGCTGAGTGATGGTATGGTATAAAGTTTATTCATTTTAAAAAAGTACAAAACAATTTCATAACAATATAAAAATACAAGAGATTTAAAATGAAAGGCAGCAGAAAGAAGAAAAAATCTTATTATATCTGCCCCTTTTTTCAAACAATTATTTCAATATCCTGTTGCATGCTCAATAATCCAGGTAGAAAAATCCAAAAAAGTTCAATCTGGTCCTCTGAACATTCAAAAAAACCAAAAACAAAACAAAGCAAAAAAATATAGAAACGTTTCATCTCTCATCCAAGAGACTTCCTCAGGCTGAGGTGCTGTATTCAGCTCAGTCTCTTAAATAGCACCTTCTCAGAGTGGATCCACCAGTTTGCTGCTGACAACCAAAACCAAAACCAGACCACCTCAACAGGAATGCACGTAAAGAGTGATGTGACATCAAAACAGACCATTGTTTCATCAGTCTCCATGATGACATCCCTCACCTTATCCACAAAGTCCATGGTGTTCTGTATGTGGTGTTCTGAGCTGCCAACTAAAGGGATGAGTACAGACGCCAGATATTTGGATATTTCCTGTTGATGATGCAGTAGAGGTGGTCAGTTTAAGATTAAAATCAGACACCACTCTGAGCAGCAGGACCACGCTTTCCACAGAACAACTGTGTCAACTCTTGAAACTGTGCCTGCAGTCAACCTACTTCACATACGGGGAGCAATATTATAGGCAGAAACATGGGTGTGCTATGGGGTCTCCAGTTTCTCCTATTGTTGCCAACCTGTACATGGAGGAGGTAGAAAAGAGAGCCTTGACGTCCTTTTCAGGGACACCACCAAGTCATTGGTTCAGGTATGTTGACGACACCTGGGTTAAAATCAAATCTCAGGAAGTCCAACATTTTACTGACCACATCAACTCTGTGGATAAATACATCAAGTTCACACGAGAAGATGTAAAAAATGGCA